GGGCTCGAACCTAGGTCCTCGGAGCAACACAAATGTTGCCAGACCACTTAACGTTCTGAGTCATCAACACACTTCCAAAACGGTTGCGCAAAAACATGTGTATACCATGGAAGCAATTGTAGGTGTGTGGATTAATTATCCATCGCTACAACAAAAATCTGCTTTGAGAAGGACTGTTCCTAGAATGAAGACAAATGTCGAACTTTGACAAATTTGAATTTAATTCGCATATGCAAGTTTCGCATCAGGGCGGAATAAATACAAGTTATCAACATACGACCTTTGTAAAGCCACATAGCCAGACATGCCTGATGAGCCGCTTAACCAACGGCGAAACGCGTCGCATAATGGTGGGTTCACGTATGTTCTTCTCCTGGCTTTCCTTTTCATTGCAAAACCTAGATCATCAAGCTCGACTCGAAAGAGTATAAATAATCACTTAAAATTACTTTCAAATGATCACTGCCCTTACAAGGCAAAATCCAAATAACAAAAATTAATTTCATTAATATCAAAACAATTTTCAAACTTCACTCTACTTTATCTCATTTTCTCCTCTCTCTCTCTCTCTCTCTCTTTGGACGAAAATAAATGTATTCCTCCCTAGAAAAAAAAACTCACAACCACCATTCATTATTCAGCCGTGGTTTGTTTGGGTATTGGAGAGGCAAGTTATTTCGATATCAATGCCAAATACAATAAATAAGTGTTGATACAAACAGCAAGCTCAACCGAAAGTTTAACATTGTATATGATTGTTATAATGACGCAAATCAAGTGAAAAAGAATAATCAAAACGACAAATAGTTTCGGTGCCATAGAAAATCCGACACTACCACCAAACAAACACAACTCCAAAGTTGTGTTTTGCTCTCTCTGACAAGAAACCAGTATTTACAGTTTTATGAATTGCATTCATAAAATGCAGAAATATGGACATAGGTAACACTTTCTGAGCACTATATATATAATATATGAATTATTTTTTCTGTGTACGAACTTCACTTCGTGTATAAAGACGCAGCGAAAAAAGACATAATGGCCGTTTATGGATTTCAGTTCACATACGCACACTTGTGGTGATAATCCACGTTGAGAACTGAGAAAAAGTAACCCAAGAAACCCACAGGTTAACTCAATAAACTGTGAATTTTTTATCGAATTGTTTTCCAATTCACTATAAACAACACAACACATGTTCGTACGTCACATCGTACTGAGTATGTATGATTGGTTCATATACAATTTCAAACTTTTCAATGGAAATGTCAAATATACTCAGAGTTGATTAAGTTATGTTGTCTTTAATTGTTGGATGGGTTTAATAAGCCGTCTGTGAACATTAATTAATTTAATGGATACGTAATATTTCAATTAATACAGATTGTGATGTAACCAGTTCCTATATATGTATATATATATATATATATACAGTGAGTGTAAAAAGTATTTTGCCTCAATAAAAATTTGAAAAAATTCTAATATATACGTCTGAAGCCAGCAAACTAAAGATGTAAAATGACTTAGGTATGATGGAGTACATTTGTGGACATATTTAGATCGTATTTCTGCAAGAATCACAGCGAAAGACCTATTGGTCTCGAAGATATCGGCCGAAATATATAATAATCCAAAAATGTTTATCACAAAAAAGTATTTTGCTTTTTATTATTATTTTAGAAAAAATTGTTACATTGGACACGTTTGGTCTTTTTATAGTTACAATTGCGGTTAACCACATACTATAAGCGATTTGACCACGATTTCATTACATCACGGCATTTTTCGTGGGTATTTTCTCACATTTACATTCAATACATTCTCCATCAGTATTTCATTTAATATTTGGTATTTTCTCGTCCTAATCTTAAGATGAGAGTATTAAACATAGTCATTGGGGCTTCAAAACTTCCCAAATATGTTTAGAATAATAAAGAAGAGGTTTTGCAAAATATAACGCGAGGACAGAACCTTAAAAACTATAAAAACCAAAATCCGACAAACAAATTATTTAAAAAAAATTCGCGAAACTCAAATTTTTTGACTTCGAAATTTGTATGGTCCAGTAATATTGATCTAGGAACCAATATATGCAATGTAAATACCAATAAGTGGGTCAGATTCAAAGATATGAACAGTTCTAAAGCAATAGTAATAAAAACCAATACATGAAGTTGGGATAAAACATCATTATTCGTCAAATCCTATTGTCTTTTGAAAAACTCTGGTTGCTGGTAGCGAATACGCATTCTATATTTTATCTCCGATTAACACCATCAGTTGCGAATAAAATGCAGTAGGGAATAAACGGGTCGATGTATTTTTTTTTTTCGAAATAAGATGTATTTATATTGCCAGAAAACCGTCCATATATTTGAATCTGACCTCCTTATCGCTATTTTCATCGTATATTTTGGTTCCTAGATCAATAAAAATGAACCATAAAGTTTTCGAAGTTAGAAAAATGGGGTTTCGCGATATTTTTTTAAATAATTTGTTTGTCGGATTTTGGTTTTAATAGTTTTTAAGGTCCTGTCCTCGCGATATATTTTGTAAAACCTCCTTTTTATTATTCTTAACATATTTGGGGTGTTTTGAAGCCCCGACGACTATATTTAATGCTCTGATTTTGAGATTAGGACGAGAAATTACCAAATATTGAATGAAATGTTGCTGCAGAATGTATTGAACGTAAATGTGAGAAAATACTCGGGAAAAATGACGTCGTTTATTGGAATCGTTGCCAAATCGCTTATAGTATGTCGTTACCCGCAATGGTAACCACAAAAAGACCAAACGTGTTCTATGTAACAATTTTTTCTAAAATAATAATAAAAAGCAAAATACTTTTTTGTGATAAACATTTTTGGATTGTTATATATTTCGGCCGATATCTTCGAGACCAATAGGTCTTTCGCAGTGATTCTTGCAGAAATACGATCTAAATATGTCCACAAACATACTCCATTATACATAATTCATTTTACATCTTTAGTTTGCTGGCTTTAGGCGTATATATTGGATTTTTTCAAATTTTTATTGAGGCAAAATACTTATTACACTCACTGTATATACAAAAAATGTCTACAAAAATAGTTTTCAAAATTTATTTACAGCCAAAATTTTAAGCATTTCAAACATAAGAAATGCATTAAAGCATTAAATGATTTGCAAAAAAAAAAAAAAGAAATACGACTTTCCTTAACAAAGCACATAGATTTATTACAATGATTGATTGTTCGCGTATGGTGGGATCAACGACATTAAATTAATAAACAGTCTTATCAGATAATTTATATTTGGTAGTTAAATATGGTACACCATATTGGGAATTCGGTGAATCAATCCGCCAGAGAATACATTTGAAAGGGGTTGGATTATTAAAGTTGTTGGCCCAGGCCGACATTGTCCCCTTCTCTAGTGGCTTTCCTTCATGCCTTCTTGCCCCAATATTTTAAAATTCCGGTATAGTTTGCATAGTAACACATAGTCGTTAAATCCTAATTTCAACCACTGTTTACGGTTTTTTTTTTAATATATTACGTGTTTCTCTATAAATGAGTAAATTTAATGAGGTATCCTAATTAAGAAAGTGATGACTAAAAAATAAATCAAAACAATGAAAACAACGTTTTGAATTGAAACATAACTTTTTAATTTATTGCATTCAAAGATCGTTTGGAAAATTTATCCCAATATTTCTAAATTAAAAATGTTTTCAAAATGTGCTTATCTGTTCATTTGAGATCCAAATTAAATGAAATTTCAAAATTTCTAAAATTTGATAGCAATAATTATGGAATTTTATTGTCTTGCAACATTGCATGAACTCCTGATCGAATAATGCTTCTTCTGTAAGATCGTCACAAGTGACGAATCATTTATCTATGCCCATCAACCCGAATCATGGATCTATGTCTATGAGTCACCTGTCTATTCCGGTAAACCGCTCATATAGCAGCTGTTCCGCTTGAACAACAAAATTTGCTTCGACATTTGGTTCGAGAGCATGAAAAAATGTATAAAAGTTTTGTGCAGACCCAAGATTTTGTAACGTCACGAAATATTAGTCCTAAATCCAACCTTATGTATACCGACCGTCCATCTTGAACAGCTGAGCCGATCTCGACATGTGTGTCCGTCCGTCTGTCCATTATAATTTGTAAACACAGCAGTTATGGTCCAATCGTTACCGAATTTTGCATGTAGGACGGAGGATGTTGGGATGTATCGGTCCATTTTCAATATTTTGGAGTGTGAAGTACATATTTAGATATAGAAAATATTCAATAGACCCATGTTTGACTAACCCTCATATATAAATTTCCGCTCATGTTTAGCATTTTTCATTCTCCTAGGCGCCTATTATTTGACATTTATGGGTCTTGGCTAACCGATTTAAGGGCTAAGCAGAATGCTCGCGTTGAGCCATCCGTCGCTTTGTATGTTATCGAAAATACAACAACCACAAGGAAACGATAACACAAACGCATATCGGTTCCTTGTGGTTGTTGTATTTTCGATAACATACAACGCGACGGATGGCTCAACGCGAGCATTCTGCTTAGCCCTTTAATGGTTCTGACCAACATTAGTTATGTTTAAGGTTATAATTTTTGACTTACTATATGCAAGTTGGAGGAAAATGTTACTGTCAGAAAATTTACAATAAGGACTCTGAATGCGGACGGTTTTAAAAATTCGACTCGGTCAAACTTAACTCCCATTGGAACAAATCGTTTACGCCTCAATCAGCTAATTAGACTTCATGCGTCCTGAAACGTTTTTTTAAATGTTGCACTATGTTGTCAATATCAAATATTTTTATTCACTTAACCATTGAGCTGAGTTTAAAAAATCTCTTATTGATTACCTTCATTGTTCTTGCTGCATCTTGCAACAGCTCATGTGTGTGCATGAATGCAAAATGATATCGTCAAAATTTCTTTATAATTACAATTCTCCATATTCATGTGTCCCCCTCTTACATCTATTTACAGATTCATAACTCGTTCACAACGTGCCGCCTCGGCTGGTATCATCAATGGTGGTAGTGGTGGTGCACCACAGCAGCCCTGTGATTCATCAACGTCTGCCTGCAATTCGCCGATACCAACAAGCGGCGGCGGTCGTTTATCACCGACGGTGCCGTCGTTGTCGTCCATAGCGCCGACATCCAGAACATCTCCTTCATCATCTTTACAACAACAAACAGATATACCTCTGCATCTTTCACCAAAATCGCCAACTGCTGCTGCTGACCACAGTGGAAAAACTGAAAACGGTTTTGTTGCTGTCGTTGGTGTTAAAGACGACATGACCAATAATTCTGGCCGTGGCGTCAGTGTCAAACCACCTCCAGTAACAAAAACTCCTGGTGTAGCAGAGGATAACAACAGCATCGCAGCGAAAACAACAACAACCCCATCAGCCACAACAACAAAGATAAAGAAGAAGTCAAATGCTGCTGCATCGGATTTGAGGAACAACAGTCAACAAATTCCATTAAACGAAGGCGAGAGCAAAGCAAAGGCCACAACAACGGCATCCACGTCCATTATAGAGGAGGCCACAATTCCAGCCACCAGCAGTGGCAGCAATCCATCAAATAAGACTGGGTTAAATACTCCAGCGGTCATATCAGGTAATTTTTTTTCATGAAAATTTACTTTTCGCTCTTCTTTTTTTAAACAAACAGTAACATACGTATGGACATACTTTAGTTGTCTGTTATGTTTTTTTTTCTTTGTTATTGTTCTTGTTATTTGTATTGTTTTTTGTGTTTTCTTGGAAGAAAGCATGGATGGAAATCCATGTATTTTTCCATATGCATGTTAAGTTGTTTTTGTTGTCATATTTTTTCCAGTGTTTTTGTACCTTCTTGTGTACTGCATTTGCCACATGTTTTACTTCTGACATTCATCACTTACTTCATTTTTCTTGTTATGTGTAAATTTTTTCCAACAAAAAATGTTATTGTTGTTTTTCGTTTTGTTTTCCATATTTGCCTTTGTTGTTATAAACATCATTATTAATTATTGTGGCATGTTTGTTATCTTTGTTTCATATTTACCACAGGTTAAATGTTTGTTATTATTTGTTACTAAACAACATATGAAGCACCCTACATGCAGACACACTCATACATGTCATCCATCCATCATGATAAATTATAAAGTTTTTGTTTTTCTCTTTCATACAATATTTACAAATATTTTATAAAAAAATATGAAAAATGGAAATTATAATAGATAGATGACCTTTCATAGGTCTTCAACCAATAAAATACCCTGCTTAGATGTTCTAAAATTGAGAAATGTTTCAGAGATTCTGTGTACGTAAAACATTCAACAACTTCTGTCTTTCAAAAGTTTTCTATATCAGAATTCTTCAATAAAAATATCTGATATTCTCAAAATATCTATGATTTTTAACTGTAGTTGGAACTGAAGAAAAATATTCATAAAAAAATACGCTCTTAGTGTGAGTTTAGAAAATGATTTTAATAATCCACGCTTGAGAATAAAATATTCTTTAAAACTGTACCACATGTTGAACATTTTTAAAATATTCTTTAAAAACCATGTATTGTTGGACCTTATTAAAAATATCCTACTTTTTAAAATCCACACCTTTTTGGGCTTTATAAAAATATTCTGTAAAAATCCACGCCTCGTTCTCTAAAGCTCCCCACGCATTACTGGACCTGAGATAAAGTATTTTTTAAACTCCACGACTAAAATCTCTCTAAATATTCTTAAAAAATAATTCAAGTTCTGATTAAAACTATTATTTACAGAATACACGACCTGAAAACTCTTCAAAAAAAAAAAAATCTTTACAGAATACACGCTCTGAAAGCTTTAAAAAAATTCTTTACAGAATACACGCTCTAAAAGCTCTTCAAAAAATTTCTTTACAGAATGCACGCTCTGAAAGCTCTTCAAAAATTTTTCTTTACAAAATACACGCTCTGAAAGCTCTAAAAAATTTCATTAAAAAAACCACGCTCTGAAAGCTTCTAAAATTTTTCTTTAAAAAATCCACGCTCTGAAAGATTCTAAAAAATTTTCTTTAAAAAATTCGCGCTTGAAAGCTCATCAAAAATATTTTAGAAGTACAAGCTCTGAATACTCCACAAAAATATTCAAATTCACGGTCTCAAATGTCAAAAATATTCTTTAAAAGCTCCTCAAAAATATTCTTTAAAATTGTACACTTTAAAAGCTTCTCAAAAAATAGAATAGGCTTAAACATTTTTATTTAAAATATATTCTATATTCTTTAAAAAAATAATATTTTGTTATCATCTATAGAAAAGCCACGCCCTTAAAGCTCATCAAGCAATATTCTTTAAAAACTCCACGTTCTGAAAGCTCTTCAATTCTTGAAAATATACACTTTCTGAAAATCGCTGAAAGCTCCTCAAAAAATCTTTAAAAATTCTAAGATGTGAAAGCTCCCCAAATATATTCATCCACCCATTGAAAGGTTATATAAAAATATTCTTTAAAAATCCACGCCCTTAAAGCTCATCAAACAATATTCTTCACATTCTGAAAGTTCTTTAAACAATCCACACTTTGAAAAACTTTGATAGCTTCTGAAAAACGTTGAAAGCTCCTCAAAAATTATTCTTTAAAAAAATCCAATCAAAGACGCCAGTAATTTAAAAAATAATCAATAAAAAATATTCGGGGAAAATTCAGAACGCATTTCCTTCAAAAAATTCTATTTCACAATGACCTTCAAAACAATAAAATTATATTTAATAAGTCATGTTCAATAAATCTGAATGACCTTTACAAAAATTATATAACAAATTTTCTGAATATCCTTTAACAATGTTACATACTAAGTTTAAGCTCTGAATGGCATTGAAAGCCACTGAAAATTTTAATCTAAAATTCATCCTCCTCATGTCCTTCTAAAAACAAAGCGAATATATTTCTTATATGTCCTTAAAAAATTCTCCAACACTCTGATTTTTTTTAAAGGATAAACCTTTAAAAATTGATAAAAATATTCTTTGAAAAATGTAGATGGTATAAAGCTCATGTAGCCAACTTATATACAATCTGCTGTCATAATTTACTTTTCAGACAAGTTTCTTTCTGGGAAATGAGAGATCACATAACGGTCGTAGATTTTTCAAAGAATATGTTTTGAGGAGTTTTTCGAGCGTGGATATTTAAAAAAATTTCAGAAGTTTAATTTAAAATAAATATTTTTCGAGGAGCTTTCAGAGCGTGGATTTTTTTAAAGAATATTTTTTGAGGAGCCTCAAAACAAAAATATTCCTTAAAAATTCACTCCACGCTCTGAAAGCTCATTTTAAAATATTATTTAAAAAATCCAAACTCTGAAAGCTTCTCAAAAAATATTCTAAAATATTGTTTAAAAAATACAAATTTTTCTTCCGGGCATCTGTTGTATATATAAGACCTTTCAGAGCGTTTTTGCAATTAAAAGCATTAAATAAGCTTCTTCTGGTTTTTTCTACATATAAAAATAAAACGTTCCAGAGGCAATATACTTCTATATGTATATTGCCTCCCATCGGAGGACCTCTGTAGATAGAATATCCCTCAAGTTGAGAGATATTCTGCAGATGATTAAAACCCTTCAGAATATACTTATACTTTGATTGTTCTTCTATTTATTGAAGATATTTCAGAGATTTTTATAGTGTAGATAGAAGTTATCGACTTCTATCTCTCTCAGGAATGTACGAAATAGAATATGTTTAATAATTGAGACAACTTTCCAAAATTGATATTTTTTAAAGATCTTTTATATGTTGCAGTCTCTCCATATGACTATTTGAAGGTTTATATATAATACCGGTTCAGGATCTCTAATATCTTATGAAGAGGAAAATACCTTTCAAAAATCTCTTACAGAGATCATCTGTTCCAAATCGTTTCATAAGAATTGGATCGTTTCGTAGAATCGCTAACATTTCCCCCCGTAGATTCAGTTACCTTCGTGTTAGTCTCTATTTTCAATAATTCTGATTTATTTTGTATTCCGTTCCTTATCTCTGGAATTTTTATTACATTTTTTCTTATTTGTTTTTATAGTCATATTTCAATTTCAATTTTTATTTACCCATAATTTGTAAGGCATAATTTGAAAAGACATAGGAATAAATAAAAAAAAACAAGAAACCAAGTGCAGTATTTGTTTAACATCTAGGCGTAACTTTCAATTTAAATCTTACATATCCCCCAACCCGGCTGCGACCTTTCGTTCGTACCTGGCTTGCTGCTGCAGTATCATCACATTATCACAGTGTCAATATTGAAATGTCACAAATATTTACACACATTTAACGTTTATTACCGCCGTCTGGCCAATAACGACAGGGTGTGCAGTGTTTGTTTTTGTTTTTTTTTTCTAAAGTTTAAACAATGATTTTGAAATGATGGAATGCAACAAAGTCAGTCCTAAAGACAATTGTCATGTCATTGGTTTTATGCGTGGTTTTGATAGAATGCCCGACATGACTACAGGTTTATCGTGATGATGGACTTGGTTAGAAGATTCGTTTTTTTCTGGTAGACTTTTGTGATTAAAAAGTGAAGAGAGAGTATTGAACGATAAGTTTGAAGACCAAATGGGGTGTGTAAGACACCCAAAAAAGGCAGTTTGTAGATAGATAACCCCAACCATAGCAAGCTTTTAGATAAAGGACATCTAAGAGGTCTAATATAAAATTTACCTTCGATACTCCACTGGGATTTGTATACTCTTATAACCCATTTTTATACCCCCAACAATTTGTGAATCTCAATCCCAGTTGATCACAGCTATTAACTAGCTTTTTATGTTTCCTAATTTTTGTTTTCTTGATAAGTGGTATCGATGGCAATTTGTTCGCTTAATGACTAAAAAATCCTGTTATATAGCTTCCAAAAAATACGGAAATAAACCACCTGTAATTCCCATGGCTAGAGGAAATAATGATTTAGTTACCCTCTAGTGTTTTTTTTTTGGATTTTAATATTCATGTTATCAGTGAAAGACCAGTGATTATCTAGACATTTGTTACAAATCGAAAATTTATTAAATATTTTTATTGTTGTTGTGTCGAGTGGATTATTTTATCTTTGTTGGACGACTGGCGGCTTACACAACAAAACATGTGAATGTGTTATGTCAACCAAATCCATATAACCGGTGGCATTTTTTTCTTGTTCAACCAACCATCCATCCATCTATCCATTCAGCCACTCTGCAGTGAAATACAAAACCTAACAAATTGCCAAAGCTTTGAACCAGTTTAAAAATTCCCCATTTTGGGGGAGGGGAGGGAGGTAGTTTGTAGTATAAATTGTTTGATGTTTGAAAACCAAAACCAAAAAAAAAACTTCCATGAGCTTAGTTAGTGTTGAATAAAAAAACCTGTTGCATTGAACACAAAATAGAGGAATCTTCCAAATATCAATTTGGTTGTCGTCATCTGATGTTTAAATGGCATTTAAACACTACCAGAAATAAATTGCAAAAGTTGTCGTTTATGTTGGTGTTTTAAGTTTCGCTGATATTAATTACAACATCGGCGTAAAGAAATAAAATAATTGTATAAAAAAATGGGATTACGATGACCGTTATGTGATCTCTTACTTCCCAGAAAGAAAT